TTTAGCCATGTGCTTCACTTTAAGCACATGATTAGTCCTATGGAAGCCAATGGGATGACTTGCGTGCCTCAAGTGAAGAACTTGCTTAAGTACCTTGCTGACCTGGAGACATATTTAGATGCATTAGTGGATCCAGGCCAGAGTGCTCAGCATCTGGCAGTATCAAGCCCCAAGTCAATGGAATGACTCTGGATTGACACCAGCGGAACTGAGGTCAATATCAGGCCCCAATTTATCTTATATTTTTTTCAACCATTTTACACACCTGTTCAGACAGGGTAGGGAATAACTTTCATTTCTCCTGTCAAATTAAAGGGAGCTTTATTTGTCTCTCTCAGAAAAAGAATACATGTTAATATTTTCTTAGCAAAAATGTCCTCTAAGGAGACGCTGGGCAAAATACAGGCAACAAATGATGCCGTCACAAGAAGACAACATAACAACTTTAGGGTTTTACAGAAATAATAAAAAAATTGTAATATTAACTCCATTACACTAGGAACAGCAAGAGACAGTATCACAGAGGTATGTGTTTTAATAATGTAAATAGATGCTGCAACATGCAGTATTTGTAAAACTGACAACATATACAGACCTCTAAGGAGAAAAGAAAACCTGAGTCCAGATTTGAAAGACAATGTATACACAACGTTTCATAAACTTGTAGGTTGTACAGAATATAATGGAAGGGGAGTTCCCACCCCTGATTTGTTTTCAACCAGTAAAACATTGTAAAAGAGGTTGCTGGAGTTTTAGGTCCAGGTTAGACTGATCTTGAATCCACAGGGCGTAGCACAATGCATCTCACAGAATCAGCTTCTGTACATGCATGCACATGAGCAGTGGCTGTTTTCACTATTTATGTCACTGGCAGAGACAGTCACTCTGCAGGCCTGATATCAGCACCTTCCAATTCATCTGTAACTTTTGGGGTTTGTTTTGTTTTGTGGAGGAAGAGGGGCTCGAAGAGTGGTGTAGTAAACAGGTGAGAGGGGGGCTGCATATATTTCATCTCTGTCCTTGAATCACACTTAATGTTGCAAAAATGGGGAGGAAAGTCCCTTTCACAAACAAAGGATACCAAATGAAAGACATAGATGTCATTGTCATCAAGTTTACAGTTTATTCCTTAACTAAATGCATTCCTAGAGAAAAAAGTTAAACATCCAGATTGAAAACAGATTCCATTGGTTGGAAATTTATCCTATAATTGTAAAGCCTAAAAACTATTTTCCTGGGGATGAGGCATTTTATTTAAATATAAATATGGTACTTTATGCTCCTTTAGGTTACAAACACACATGTCAAAATGCCCACATGGAGAAACTCAGAAAACAGACTGGCCTTCTTTTAAAACCTGCTGCTTTTGCTGAAAGTAATTTACAGAGTGTGTCAAATGAGGACACAAGAAGCTTACATTGTGTACTTTAAGGTTGTTGTTTTTTTTATTTTTTCAATAAAGGGACAAAATGGGTGTATGAACAGGATAATGCAGACAACTGCCAAAAAAACACAGACAGTGGTTTTTCCAATAGAACTTAACAAAGACCAGAAACAAATACAATAAAAAGCCAGGTTGTAATGACCT